CTGTCTTATTCTCCCTTGCATAGTCCCAGTCATTATGAACTCCATCTCTAAGTTTGTGGAAACAGTTGTTGAACGAAAAACTGTGGTCCACATAATGTTAATGCACCAAATGGAAGATGATGCTCTTAACCCACGAAGGGTCGAGCCTCAAAGGGGGGAATGTGGCAGAGAGGGGCTAGAAACAGTGAAAATGATTCCTTTTTAAAAATTAACTGCAAGCTCCAAACCTGCTAGACATGGGACATAAAGAAATCCAAATAGCCACAGGCCACTTTCCTGGAAGTGCAAGATAGTAATCAATTCACAACTATCCCACATCCGCTCTTTGTGAAGTTATCGGTTTACAACCCCTGCTTGTCATGGATATCCTGGAGACAATTTGTTCTTTGAAAATTGGGTTTTGCTAAATACAACCTTGCAAATTCCAGAGAAAAATGTATAGTCATACAACCTGACCCCCTCCCTTACCAAAACTAACATATAAAAGCCCTTTCCTCTTTCTCCGGGTTGCTCAGCTTTGGAGCATTAGCCCGCTGAGTCACACCAGCGCTAATAAACCACTACTTCCTAAGATAGCCTCGATGTCATGGTTTTCCTGCAACAACATAGGTTACAAACCTTGTTATTTGGCGTTCTTTATAGATTGGATCTTTCAGCCAAGTTCCCTGATATCTTTTTCTTCTTTTGGAAAGGGAGAAAGGCCAAAGGCATAGGAAGCTACTGGAAGGTAAAGCATCTCTGGCCAGTATTCCTTCAGTCACAGAAGCATTTCTTCCACTTTTGCCCTATTTTTGGAAGAGAAAGCAACGCTTTTTTTTTTTTTTTTTTTGAGTTGGAGTCTCACTCTGTCACTCAGACTGGAGAGCAGTGGCCGCTCCTGGCCACTGCAGCCTCAACCTGCTGGGCTCCGGCGATCCTTCTACCTCAACCTTCCAAGTAGCTGGAACTACAGGCGCACACTACCATGCCCAGCTAATTTTTGATTTACTGTAGAGGAGAGGTCTCGCCAAGCTGCCCAGGCGGGTCTCAAACCCGCAGGTTCAGGCAATCCACTCACCTCGGCCTCCCAAAGCACTGGGATTACAGGCTGAGCCACTGAGCCCGGGGAAAGCAACGCTTTTAACAACTAAAACAGAATGTGAACTCTGTGTCAGATTTGCATACACTGTTGAAGAAGTTTAAAAGTATTCACATCTCACTCTTCTTTCTGACTTTTCCACTGGAAACTTACTCAGAATGCTAAAGCAGCCACATCTCTTAACCAGAACATCTTGTACAGCAAAACAAAAGAGAAATTTCAAACTAAAAAGAGATTTCATCACAGGGCTCATATTTGGGAAGTAACTTTGCCACCTACCAAATTTGAGTGGTTTCAAAATTAAGTCTAAATTATTCAAAGGCAAAGAATTAGAACAGAGAACTTTTATAGTAATTTTCAGAAAAACCAAAACTTGACTCTGTGCTTTTCAAGATTTGACTGCTAGAGGTTATAAAATTACTTAACTTTTAATTATATGAAAATTAATCCCTGGCCACCTAATGTGGCTTTTAATTATATGAAAAACAATCCCGGGCTACTCTGATGTGGCTGAATAGAAAGGAAAGGAGAGCAATTTTTTTTTTTTTTAAACTGGAGACATGCCGTTCATCTGCTATTGGTGGCTGGGCAGCATGATGTGTGGGAATGCACTTCACCTGTCAATGAGAAAGCCATGTGCATACATCTGCTAACATATTAGAGTCAACAAGACCCCAAACAAGAGTTTTCTGAAAAAGCAAAATATGATTTCATCCTCCCTTTAGTGCTAATGTCTGTGTGCCTCTCAAAATCTGAATATCAGAAGTTTTCTTATGTAAAATTACTTTGAATGCCTGCTCAGGTTGGTCAGCAATCGGTTTATTTAACTGGGTTCCCTGTTAAGCTTTGTAGAACCTATTATGCCCTCAACAACAACAAAAAATCTAATGAAACAATATTTTAATTCCGCATTGTTTTCTTCCGATGTATTTTAACTTTTAGTGAAATTATCTCTGACCTTGGAGAAGAACTGATGGTCAATGAGACACAAAAGGACCTTAAGACAGAAAGGGGAGAAACTGTCAATTAATGGAGGAGGCATATGCTAGGTTGGTGAGTTGAGCCAGTGCCATAGGTTTGCAAAGAACCACACAGAAATTAGAAAACAGTTTATTTATAAAGCAGATCAGGAAAGAGTATATTCATTTCTCAAGGGACAGAAGGGGCCAGATGCTTAAGGGAAACTGCTGGCAAATGCTTGCGACTGGGGTTTTTTAAGGCTTTCCTTTGGGGGGTCAGGCAACAGGAGGTGTTTGATTTACAAAGAGCATTCCTGTGGAAAGTGACAGTGGGAGGGGGTGGCTGTTTAGGACAGCAGCAGAGCTTTAGGTCATGGATTATGTAGATAGGGAGATGGGTTCAAGGTTTGGAAAACAAAGTCTTAGGACACAAATGTTAATTTTCAAATGTCCTTGGATGTAGGGAACCATAAGGCCCTCAGTTGGGAGTGTGTTGTGTATGGGTGAGATAGCAAGAGGGTTGGAGGAGAAAAATATTCTTGGGGGAGATTGCAGGAGAGGTGAAGCCTCCATTATGACCCTCCATTTCTTTCATCTCAGAGATCAGGTGGTTTGTCATGTAAACAGGAGGACTGGGCTGATAGCTAGAAACAAATCCCTGGAGCAAAGATGCAAATTATAAGACCTTGATTCCTGTTACTGAGGAGAGGTTATAGTTTTAACTTATCAGTGACTCTAGACAGAGGCGTTAATTAAGCTTAACTCAGAGCAATAGAGTTAACAGAACTATTAGAAAGTAAGACGTTATTCACTATAACAAAAGTATGAGCCAATGCCAAACTGCCTGCCCAAAATGGCTGAGGTAACTTCATTTTGGCTTTTGTCCTTTCAACATACAACATTTAATTCAGGGTTGTAGAGATCAGGGAGACCAGGACAGCCAAGAACCTGGAAAACCCCTCACATGCTGGGCTGCAAACAAGAGAAAGTTAGGTAATGGAGTAGGACCCAGTTAAAGAGTGCAGATTTTAAAAACTTGACTGACAAAAAAATAAAAGGAAAGTCAGCCCCAAAAAGAAATGTAGCCCCCATCGGCAGCTGGACTGTCACACCCAGGTCCTGAGACTCCCGGTCTCGAGGTCTGTAGTCTCACCCATGCAGCAGCCTCACACACTCCTCCACAAAGTACTACCCACAGCTCTGTGATAGAGTGCAGAGAGTTTTACTCTACTAACTTCAACTGGCGTGAAATGATAGCACCTGGTCCTCTTGGTTAGATGAGTACTTATGAAACCAAGGAAGATGTAAAAATAAGTAGAGAAAATAAAATTAGTCAACTTTACGATATTGATGATTTTGTGTTGTGTTTGTACTGGTATAACAGCACATTTTGTAATAAATGGACTTTTTTATGATGCTTAATAACGCTTAACAGATTTTGTTCTCCTACCTATATGGTTGATTAGATTTATAAGCATTTTCTAATATTTGCCTTGTCAGATTTATAAGTCTACTCTGCTAAGTGTTCACAGTTTAATTGAACATGTAGACAGTATTATAGTTTAAGGAGGATTTAATCATTGACTATTAATCAAAAACATTAAGCAAAGAAAACATAAAGTGATTATTTTTATAAATGTTATAACTTCTGCAAGCTGAGTATAAAGTTTTAAGGAGGAGAAAAGGTGCCTTTAGTTAAATTTTTTTACAGTCCTCACCTGCACAGACACAGTTAGTTTTAGCATGCAGATTAATAATTAAAACATAACATAGGCATATTCCTTTCTATGTATAAAAGTACTTTTTGAGAAATAAAGCACTAATAATTTCCACCAAAATGATTGTTACTGTTTTCAATTTAGGACTACAGGGTTGTGCAAAATGAAACTAAAATCAGAATCTATAACATCAATCAATGTATTTTTATGAAATTCAGAAGACTGTAGTGTCTCTGATTATCAGAACTTCTAGAAATTGAATATTTTGAAAACCTAACAACTTTACAGACCATTAATATAATTAACCTGAAAACTGATCTCTTACTAACAAATAATCTGTAATAACTATGAGAAAAGCTCTGTCTAGTAATTTTCCATGTTTCTGAAAGTAAAAACATCTAGGTCTAAGCAATTTTTAAATACTAAGTTTTTAGTTTAAAAAAATGGTTTGATCAGATTACCTCTATTCTGGCCAATATGAAACTCATCATTGTGTCACATGAACCCACAGACTAACACAAACATCCGCCATTTTAAGTAACTTTTCACACAGGATCTGTATGTTGAAAATGAAGCAATCTGATTCTTAAATAGGAGACAGATCCTATATAGTGTCTTTCTACAGGGTAAAAAAATCTACCAGAATAAATTATTTATTAGTCTTGGCCATTTACACAACATTCAGAGTACTGCTAGGAATATACAGTTAAAATAACATGAAAATAATCGATAAATGAGACTTAGAGAAATCAGCTGGTGTAGCTACAAAACAAAAGGCTCAGTTTTTAGGTCACGGGCCTGCAATGCCATCCATGTATGCCCGGCTAAAGGGCTGTAGTTCTAGAAATAAAAGGGAAAAATAAGATATACTTAAACCAAAAAAGTATTAAAACAAAACAATCTTAAGGTACTAAACACCAAGTATAAAAGCACAGGAAATAAACTAACCTAATGCTATAACTTTCCACTGAATTCTATAAGGAAATCTTAGACAACAGCATCGTGTTAAAAATTAATTTAAGATTTTAAAGCTCTTTAAATATTGCTAATTCTAAATAATAGTTGTGTATGTAAATAGATGACAGATACATAAATGGATGATAGGAAGTGACAGGTAGGAAAGTAGATTCTGAGGTAGATAAATTTCAAAATATTTGCCACTTGCTACTTTGCAACAGTTCTCCCAATTTTGCTTGAAAACGGAACAAGTGGCTTTTGTTCAAGTCCAAGTAAAGAGACAGGACATGTTTGGAATGAGAATCCTTTAATAACTATATTCATTTCTAGAGAACAATAAATACAGAAATTGCAAGCAGTGTGTGTAACAATAATATTTTCCTTAGATACAGAATACAGCTACTTTTATACAACTTAGGCAAACACTTTTTTCAGAAATCGGCATTGGGCAAAGCTAAACAACAGAAGGAAACGACAGGTAAAATCAGAAAATATTTACTCTGGACCCTGCAGGCAGAGGCTTCCACTAGCGGTGTCGGTTGCAGGCCAAAGGGAGCTGGGCTTGGCTCAGCTTCGTGCAGTGGCTGTCTGCGGTTGCTCAGACTGGAGCTGTTTGCCAAGGTATTCCCTAAAAAATAAGCAGGAAATAATCATCAGAATACAAGGAGCAAAGAATCACTTTCAAAATCGAGATAATATATGCTGTCGTATATCTAAAAATTATTAATAAAATAGTCCCAGAAAGCTGAACTTTTCCAAATTTCAAAAGCACCTGTGCTGTATGAATTCTACCCCATACAACACGCACAAACAAGTCATAACACACAAACTAGTGATGACTGTACTAGTACTTACGCTTAGTAACTTACAAAGTTATTACAATTGCACAAACAAGCAATTACAACGAAACATAATTACTTGTCGGGGAGAGTCTACTTTCCTCTAAAGATAAAGGTCGAGCTTATTTTCCATAATCGAAGAAGTTCAAAATCAACTTAATTATTATTCCAATGGTCTCGTACATGAAAACCAAATATCTTGCTGTTAGAGAACGCATGTATCTATACCCTGGGATGAACTCAAGAGCGTATATCAATAAATCACTGAGCCCAGGAGAAACCACTGTCCCACCGTTAACAGGAGCTCTTGTTCCAGAGTACTCACTCTGCACTGGCATGGTCTAAAACCTTACAAACGTGGTCGAGATGGACCCACAGAGCAATCCCCAGAGCTGAGTGGTAGTTCTTACACTCCACAGATGGGCAACTGTGGCTTAGAGAAGTCGTCTCCAAGCCTTTTAGATCACTCTCCTTCAGAAAATAAACATGCACTCACAGTGTGTATACTTAGCCCTAAATGCCATAAATGCTGTTATTTCCCGGACAGAAAACAATCTTTTTCCTATTTTCCTATGAAGCAGTTGCTCAAACTGCTGTTTTAGAACCAACTAGTAAGAACAAGAAAAAGTGACTTTTTAGAATAACGTTTTACATTTTCCTCATATTAAAAAAAAACAGCATGAGTTTTGGAATAGAGACATCACATCCCAGATGTGCTGGCCCCAGAGGCTCACGGCATTCCTGCAGGGGCTCGAGGAGGTGCCAAGAGAGAAGGCCATGAGCAGCAGGTACACAGTCAGTGTCAGCCCCCTCTCGCTTACCTGCCGTGTGAGCACCACCAGGAACCCACCTCTGGTGGTGACAGCAACCACTGGTAGATGGGATCTGCCTTCCTCCAAGGTCCACTTACCTACTGCTATCATCGCCTAGTTCAGAGTAGCAAAGGTGTGGAGCAAGACTGGGAAGACAGAAGCACTGGGGATGGAAGAGGGACTGTCACACAGTGGTGGAGGAGGAGCAGGGAGGAGAAGCTAGGCGCCAGTGCGTGGGAGGTGGCAGGGATCCCTCCCGAAGTCTTCGGAAGTGAGCTAGGCATTTGCATACCGTGAGGCCAACTGAAACCTCCTCTGTCCTAAAAATGGTTTACAGTCTTTTTCACCCCTCCAGGAAAGTTCCTGTGACTGACTCATCGATTCTGAGTGTCACATTAAAGTATATAATATTCTTGTGTTATCAGAAACAACCCTGACACAATTTTAACAATGCGGATCTTATTTCCAAACAGGATTTAGGAAAACAGCCGTGTCTATTTTGTGCAAAGACCAAGAGGGAAGCCATCCTATAACTTTTAATAGAAAGGAAGGGAAAAAAACAAAGAGTTTATGGTCGTTATTAATGCTGCTACCCTGGGAAAGTCTGCAACTTGAGAGCAAATAATATTTATCACAAAATTTTCAGATTTTATGTACTTTTCCTAAGGAATCAAGCGTGAAATTAGATGTGTTCTATTTCATGGAGGTCTTCAAATATTCTAATTTTGCATGTTAGCCCATTTAGTGTGGTTCCTTGAGAAACATTTCTATTATCTTTTTTACTTTAAAAAATTTTTATATTAGAGATGTGGGGCACAACTTAACTATATAAGTAGGTCACATGCAAGTGAAGTCTGGGCTTCTAGCAGATCCTGTCTCCCCCGAAAGTGGATCTGGTACCCAGTGCATTGCTCTCTTCTCTCCTCCCCCCGCCCCCAGCAGTATCTAGCATCTGCTGATCTCACCCTTGTCCTCATGTGACCAGTGATCAGGACCCACTTATGAGTGAGAAGACGCGATATTCAATTCTTTGTTTCTGTGATGGTTCACTTAGTATGGTGGTCTCCAGCTGCTCCGTGTTTCTACGAAGCCCATGACTTTGTTCTTTATAGCTGCTTGATATTCCATCGTGTATATGTACCACATTCTCTTTATCCAGTCCATTTTCAATGGACATCTGGGTTGGTTCCATGTTATTGCTATTGTGAATAGTGCTGAAATGAACATGTGTGCAGATGTCTTTTTGGCAGAACAGCTTATGTTCCTCTGCATATAATCTCAGAAGAGGGATGGCTGGATCAATTTTAGTTCTTTGAGAATTTGCCACACTGCTTTCCACAGAGGTTGAACTAGCTTACATTCCCACCAACAATGTAGATGCACTCCCTTTTCTCAGCAGTCGTGCCAGCACCTGTTGCTTATTGATTTTCAAATGACAGCCATCCTTACCAGTGTTAGGTATCTCGTTGTAGTATGATTTGCATAGAAAACATTTATAAAGCATTCTCAACGACATTGTGCCACCCTTTGATTACAATAAGCTGTAGTTCTTTCTATAAAGGGCCAATGTCAAGGACCAAGTTCTAAATGTAAATCTCCAAAGGCAACTAGTGAGAGCACATGGCAAAGCCTCTAAGAGATCAGGCGGAGAACCGCAAAGTGACCACAAAAAATCCTGTGGGTCTGGTCACCCACAAAGGTTCCCACCGGCTCCATCCCTTCCAGAGGCATGAAGATGGTACCTTCTCCATATCAGACTTCACCAATATTTAGGTGACAACAGTGAATTTTTGGAGGCCAGGGAGATAACTGACTTCTTTTATAGAAGCAACATGGTTGAAATAGGGCCAAAGCAGGATGACAGGAAAACAAAGCAAAGGTGAGTTGTCCTAGTAGTAAGTTAAAGACATACCCAGCCATGGCTTCCCAAGGCCGCAACTTAGAAGCACCCATCTTCCACTCTTGATTGTTTTCTGGTTCCTGGTCAAATGCATATATGATGGGTAACATCCTCTCCTACACTCTCATTGTTTCATACATACAAGGTAGCCAAGGGGCATTGACTTCGCGATTTGAGTACCCAACATAGAACAATCAGCACCTCCTTACCTTTGTCTGCTAAAGAGCAGTCATGAAATTTAAGATCTGTGGGAAGGACAAGGACTCACATGGATGTAAAGCATCCAACTAAGAACGGGCATGTCGAGGGCACGAGACAAAACTTTGTGAGCGGAACTGGAGGCACCATAGGTCCCAAAATGCCAAAAGCCCACCAAGGGAAGAGCCTACACAGGACCCATGGAAAGGAGAAAACCTCTTCCTCTGGCTTTCTTGAAATTGCTGTTTGTTTTGGCATGTGGGTTGTCAAAATTTTAGAGAGAACTGGACTGTGGCTTAGCTGAAAAATGTACAATAGGAAAAGATCTAACCTATACAAAACTTGGGGAAAATCAGTCCTCTGAACTTGACTGGTCAAATATTATAGTTTGCTCCCCTGATGCCAAATGGTAATGTATGGTCAATGAAAACATGCCCAAGACCAGGGGACGGAAGTCCGCCCCTCGATCCCCTGCGATCCAGGCTCAGGGGTCCTGATACCAAGGGTCAGGGCTGGAAACAAAGAATGGCTCCTCCCACTGCACTCCATTACAAGCCCTCAAGGAAGCTTTTCAATAGGCCTGCCCACACATTATCCTCCTCCACTCCAGGGCATCTCTGTAAGGTGGGAGTTGTCTTCTTCTCCACTTTACAGAAGAGGAAACAGAGCCTCCTCAGAAAACTTTAACAACTTGTGCAAGGGTAAATGAACACAGGGACAGACTGGGCTCTGATCCTATTCTCTTCCTACTGTGGGATTGCCCGGCCTCCAGTAACAGCCTAGAAAGGTGCAGAAAGCATGTGTGTCATTTGTGTGTCCTATGTTTATAGATGAGAACACAACAAGAGGTTGTAAATAATTTCTTCAGGTTAAAGCTGTATTATTTTCAGGCAAAAGGAAAAACTAACACGGATTTTACCTCAGGGGGTTATAATGTATCTGGAATGAAGTATGCAAAAAGAGTTTCAGTCTTTCTTTTTATACATAAAGATCAATACAACAATAAAAGTTCAACTTATAATTCACTCAAAAGGTGCCCAATTTTTATCAGCAATCTACAGGATTGTGACATTAAATCTTTGCTTCTACTATGTAAGAGGCAAAATTTGAGAAGTGTAATTTTTTTTTCTCTTTAACTTCATTCATAACTAAAGTCTCTTGAGAATCCAAAATTCCTGAAACTGAAAAAAAGGGCAGTCTGAAAATCTACATCCTTTTTTAAAAACCCAAGTACAGAACAGCTCACAAAGGATATCACACTGTATGCTGGAAAAGGATTCACCTCTGACTAAAGAGTACTGAAAAATTACTTGCCAGTTTCACAAGTCACCACTAAGACAGCACCTAGGTTCTACTCTACTAGAAGCTAGGGCACCAGGATGCATTTACTGGGCTATATTAACCCTCAAAACAGCAGAAAGGCCTTCACTGTATTATAATTAAGTCCTATCCTTTCACAGTGTGTCTAATTGTTTAAAGCGTCAAACATTTTTATTCTTTCTTTAAAACTGTAATTGAAAACACTGACTACAACTGTATTATAACATGCCCCCTTCACCTATATAACTTGAAACACATGGTAACTTCGGCTATATAATTTAGTGCCAGAAAAAACTCAATTTTCTACTGACAAACATATTAATCAATGAAAACTACAAAGTCTCTCTTATTTTCCTTTTTTTGGCCTTGCCAGCCACAAAGCCAAGTAGAAAACCCATTGTTAACTAAGATAGGAAACAGGCAGGACTAATTTCTAAAATGAACATCACAAGCCAGCCAGGGCCAGCCGAGCCCAGAATGGCACCAAAAGCGACTTCTGCTTGTCCCTTTGGCTCACTATAAACATTTTTATACTGCATTAGCATGCTAGATGATGCAT